GTGGTGCAGAAGGAGCTTACAGCACTGCCCCACCAAGGAGGACGCATGCCCTCAGGGCTGTGCCCTTCCCCGTGGTGTTATCCAGGCTCATGTCTGGCTCGAGACTTGGCATCCATGCCCTTATCTCAGCTAGCACTTGTAGGAGCTCTTGTGGTCCACATGATGTCACATTTCCAGGTATTTCCATTCCACTCAGCCACTGCTTAGATAGAGAACACAGCATCAAATTCTGCAGAGGAGCAGGCAGAAGAATGTGATGGACGCCCCCTTGGTTGGGCACACACATGCATGGACACACAGAGAAGAGCTGGGATGGAGATGGAATTCCCTCCTGCAGGGAGCAGCTATGCCCTGGGTAATGCAGCCAGCATTTGGACAGTAGCAACAAAGTGGACAAATTCCACAGGTTGGGCAGGTATTAACAGCTGTTCTGATATGCACCACTCCCCAAAAGCAGGCAAGGACTATGAGCTAAAAAGGTGGTTTTTACCCTGAGCTTCAATCATCATTTTCACCCTGCATGAAATCAGAAAGGACTTCAGGATTTAAGTCAGGGAATTTAACAGCTTGCAGATGACAGACTTCTCAAATGCTTTAAATGAATCTCTGAATGAACAAAGTCCTTCTATGTCCTTCAACTAAAGTTGCCCTTATATTTTACTTATACTGCTGCAAAAATATCTACATCCATATATTTTAAGTTCCAAATCTCTATTTATTATTCAAAATGAGAAATACGGCAAATGGAAAACATGGTTTAAGTTACTGCTTTTTTCCTATGTGCAAGCCATTTCCTTCGCTTTGAGAGAAGCCTTTATATATCCCTAAGGAAAACCATCTTTCCCTGGAAGAGCACAAAATATGTACCAGACAGGGAAAAAAAAGAATTAAAAAACACAATTTTTTTTTCCCTGGGGTGAAAAACCTGTTTGAGAATGAGCTCTGCATTCTGAGCTGGTAACTCACCTACAAAAGCAGCATCTGAGGGGACTGAGACAATACTACACAGTGCCTGGCATCACCTGACCCAAAGCTGCCTCAATTTAAACATGATTTCCCCAAGTAGTAACACTCTTTCAGTGGGCTTCACTTGGACAAAATTTCTAGCAATCCCCACAGATATTGTGATGCTCTAGCCTGATGCTCTAGCCTGTTTTCCTTTGTGCAAGGGTGCCAAACTGCTCAGCTTTGCTGTTCAGTGGCCATGACATGATGGAAGGCCACCTCTACCCCAGCTCTCTGGGGTGCGCTCTGCCCGAGAAGATGGCTGGTGAAACAACAGTGGCAGCTTTCACAAATAAGCTGGACCCTCCAGCCCAGGCTTTTCAGACTGCTATAAAACAGCTGAAGAAGGGACACACTTGAATGCTTTAATTCAGACACAAAGGGGATGAAAGTACTTGGTTCAACTCTTTGTTGGCAGGGAAGTCATATGGAGAGAGCTGCTTATCTCCTGCATTCAACTCTTGGATCCATCAGTCCCTGAGGAAGAATCCACCTCTTGAACCTGCACTGACAAGCCATGCCATAACATAATTTCTTTTGAATCCTCTATCAAGTCACTATGGTTCAGAGCAAAATATATAATTTATAGATGCACAATTGCAGCTAATGACCTGTATCAACTCACAATAACGGGATTAAGCCCATGTGTCCAAATGTTCAGTTTAGTCCATAGCACTCAGTGTCCTTATTTGGCCTATCTTAAACTAGTAACTCATCTTGGAGCAAAACACATCCAAGAGCTCTAAAGAACACAGTGTACATGTGAGACAGCTGCCTTTGCCCATTGAAAAGACAGACAAAATTAGTTATCGTTTTACAACACAGTCCCTATTGCAACCAACAAACGAGATGTTTCTGCAGTCTGTTTTCCCCAGGAGCAGATAGCTTTGATTATACAAGATATCCCTGCATGGATCTGGCTCCCCATGGCTTGCCAAAACCTTTGACTACTCATGCCCAGTATGCGAGACTCAGCTGCTCCGGGGTGCAAATTCTCCCTTCCCATGCGAGAGCAGGAGTATGTCACTCTCACTCCTCACAGGCTGCAAAGAGGAGCACAAGGTGCCAACCAGTGCCAAGTAACTCTGCTCAGCCACATCTTTACTGAATATTTTAGTTATAGCACTGTTTGAGTCACATATTAAAACATGTATTAAACAGCTTACTTAATCAATGTAAGCTTACACAGTTACTTTACAGAAACAAGGAGCAAAGGGAACATGAACCTCCACCAGAGATGCATCTGTGTAATGTGCAAGCTGCAGCTCCACCACTGCTGCATCCTGAGCTCAGAGGCACCAGGGCCCAAGGTGTGGAGTGCTGGTCCCAGCACAGGGAAATTAGGTCTCTGTGTCAGGTGACTGCTCCATAGCTGGAGCTGGTCTCACCTTCTGTAAAATGGGAAGAATCCTCTCCATTTGGTAGAGCTTGTTGAGTGCTATAGATGAAAACCACTCTGTAAATTCGAAGTATTTTGACAGTTACTCCCCATAGTCATAGGAAAAGGTCATGTTTAAAAAGGTAAGGAGGGATCCCCTGGCCCTGTATCACCTCCAAATACAACAGTACCTCTTGAACAGGGGTGTTTCTCTCATTCCCTTCACTGACTTGCAAACTACTGAACCAGCATATCATTAAGTGCACATAATCACTGGGGTTGTGGGTCACTGCACAAAATATGCACATTTCTTTAAACCACTTTCAATTCATTTGCATGTCATTTTCTGTGCAGAAACTGGATTCTGAAATGAGCAAGTTATCTGGGCACAATACACTCCCATGAATAAACAATGGGAGCAGCAGAACCTCAGTAGCCGCCTCCTGAGCACCCAAGACCAGGAATACAATGTATCAGTGAAATAAATCCCTAGATAAAAGATGGACACAGGGAACTAAAGCAGAGACAGTCTATAGCCTAGGAAAGGACACTTAGGATTTTTTTTCATAGCAACTTAATTCCTCTAGTTCTTGATTATATAAAATGAATACTGGTTACAAGCTATTGACTGACAGCTCTGAAGATTGAGCAGCTCTATTTTACAACACTGAGTAGCACTGATCCTCCTTCTAAGTTAATAAAAAGATTCCCTAAAATCACTCTTGTCTGTAAGTTATCAAAAATGTTCCTCAGCATAAAAGTCCATGAAAGCTGACAGAATTCTTAAAATTCATTGATTATTCACAGGCATTTACTGAGTCCAAGGAAGCAGAATTGGACCTGTGTAGCTGGGAGCACTGGGGTACGACCAATAGAAAGCCTTCCCAACTACATCCTGCTGGAAGTCACTAAAACTTTCATGAGACAAAGCATCTTGAAATCTAGCTAACAGATCTACACTTCCCAGCCCTCTTAATCCTGAGGAGATTGCATTTAATAGGAGATTAAGATGGAGAGGAAAGAGGAATATAAAAATTACATCAGTAAGACTCCCAGTTCCCATTCTTGATCCTGTAAAGAGTGACTCCTGAGACAAAATGCCAACATTTTTTGGGCAAGAGCCGTGTTCTGCTCTTGGCTCAGAGATTAACTAATACATAGGATAGTCCAGCAAGCCACCACTCATCAGAACTTAAGTAGGAAAAAAATGATAGACAACTTTTCCCCTTTGAATATTTCAAGTCACGCTATATTTTAAGTATTTTACAGTCTCTTGTGATACCTGCTTTCAAGCAGGCCATTAAGAAACGGGTTTGCACAGCCTAACCCATGCATTGAGTCTTCAAACATTCTTGTAACTAAGTATGGTCCCTTCCCCACAGCCTGTGAATCTGGAGTGCTGACAGCAATCCAGAGTAAATATTCTTTCCCATTTGTTTGACAACAGTGCTGACAGAAGTGGCCTTTTATGGTGAGAGGCTTTGTCCCATTCCCTTCCCTTGCCCAGATGAGTCCAGCTCATGTGCATCAGCCTACAGACAAGAAGAACAGCCTTAGCTACCTCCGACACCTTGGTGGAGACCTCAGCTGTGGAGAAGGGGCTTCATGAAGAGACTGATCAACAAACATAATACTAATGTTTATGGAAAACATGGGAGGCTTACACAGGTTGATGGTACATCCTGAATGGCTAAGTGAATGAGTATCCCCCTTTTTTAACCATTATACTGAAGAACATCTGAGAAAACGGTATCTTCACAGCAGCTTCTCAAACCAATCTCTGTTTTCTTACCTTTACAGTGACTTATAGCAGTAAAAAAAATAAAGGAAGGCATAAATAATAATTCCACTCAGAAATTATGGAGGGCCTATTCTTGCCAGGTGCTGAGTTCTCACGCCTACCAAGGACAGCTGACAGCCCAAAGCAATGCTCAGAACTGAAACTGTGGGTGGTGGGACTTCATCGTGGGAATGTGAGCACTAGGGTGTACACTAGGGTGAAGTTCTTCACAAGGAACCAAGACTGAGCACACACAAGGATAAAAGTATAAAAAGAAAGAAGACAAAAAAGGACTACCCTAAAGAGCACTTCTAGGTCCTCACAAACTCAGTATCAGGTGTAACCATCATGCAGCTGCCATCAAGAAAGCTTTCTAATGAAATTCCCTGTACAACTCTGCTCTTGAAGTAGCACTTGATGGATTTAGTAATCAAATGGCCACGATTTTAACTGATCCTCAGTTTATCGATTTCCATGTCTCCATGCAGAAAATGAGAAACCATTAAAAAAACTTATCTACGAAGAAGTGGAAAAATACAATTCTGGGTAAACCTTCAACAGATGAAACCGCTGGGCCACTCTTGCCAAGAGGACCCTCTGTGCTCATCCTTCCCATAGTCGTGAAGGGATGCTGGCAGCAGGTCACTGCCCTCCCATCCCTCCTCAAACCAAGGGAGGAGATCCGCCAGGACCCAGGCCAAAGTTCAGCTCGGAGCAAGCCTCGTCCCCAGCCGGTAGCCGGCGATGCCGGGAGCGCCCCGGAGCAGCCATCCCGGCGGGTCCGGGGCTGCCCTCGCCGCCAAGCGGGTTCGCACTGCCCCGGCCCGCCGTACTCACCCGGTCTCCTCCTCACCGGCCTTTTCCTGCCGCTGCAGAAGCGCACTTTGCTGAAGACCCCCAGGACATGCCTCTCGCATAGGGAGCGCCCGTCCTTGCTGGGGCTGGAGCGGCGCTTGGAGGCGGACACCCGGTCGCTGTTGGACTCCCTCGCCTGCCGCTTCTGCCGGATCAGCGAGCTGGCGATAGCCGCTGCCATCGCCGCTCATGGGCCCCCCGCGCCGCTCCGCTCCGGGGTGCGCCGCCCGGGCGCGCTGGGGCCAAGCCGCCGCCGCGCCCCGCGGGGACCGGGGACGGGAACGACCGGCTGAACGCGCTGCAGCCCCGAGTCCCGGCGCCGGGGAGGGCTCAGCCGGCCAGGCGGAGCAGGGCGCCCGGGCTAACAACCATGGCTGGACGCCGGACCCCGCCGCCCATGGGTCTGTCCCCGGGGAGCGCAAATCCCGGCGCGGGCGGCCGTCGGCGAGACCCCCGGCCGGGCTGGTAGCGCCGCGTAGATCCGGGAGCGGCCGCCGCGCTGGCGAAGGTCCGCTGTGTCCAAAGGATAGGGGGACGCGGAGGATCCGCGGGTCCCTGCGGCGCGGTGCCGCTCCGCTCCGCCCGGGCGCAGGCGGCGGCGCTTCCTCCCTCCGGCCGCTCTCCGGCGAGGGGCTGCGGGATGAGTCAGAGACCCCTCGGCCCGCGGGCAGCCCCGGCCCCGGCGCGGTGGCTCCGAGGCGCTGCGCGGCAGGGCGCGCACATGGACGCGGCTCCGCGGCCGGGCTCAGGGAGAGCCGCGCTGCATTCCTGTTCGCACTCCTCCTCTTTCTCCTCTCCCCCCCTACCCACTCTGCTCTCAGAGAGGGCGGGAGGGGAAGGAAAAAGCGGCCACGAGAAAAAGCAGCAGACCAACAAACAAATTAAAAAGAACGGGGAAAAAATTAAATTCTAAAAAAAAAAAAAAAAAAAAAAAAAAAAAAAAAAAAAAAAAAAAAAAAAAAAAAGAAAAAAAAAAAAAAAAAAAAAAAAAAAAAAAAAAAAAAAAAAAAAAAAAAAAAAAAAAGAAGCGGCCGGCCGCGAGTGCGGGCTCACATCGCCGCAGCTCGGCGCCCCGGGCTCACAGCGCCATGGCTGGCGCAGCTTCTCCTGCCCTGCTCGCCGCCTCTGCCCCGGCACCGGCTCTCCCCGACGGCAGCAACCCACATCGTCCGGCCGACCGCCGAGCACTCGGCACCGGGGCGGCCCCGGGCCCGGCTGCCGCGGCGGGGACGGCGGCGGGAGGAGCGATGCAAGGCGGGGAGGAGGTGGAGGAGGAGAAGGGCGGGGGGGTGCGGCTGCCACTGCTGCTGCTGCTCCGTGCGGGGCTCAGGATGCTCCGCGGTGCCGCCCGACGGCGGCGGGGCGAGGAGGAGCCGAGCCGCGCCCGCTTCGCGCCTGCATCCTCCTGCCCGAGCCGGGAGGGGGGAGGCGAGGAGAGGAGGGGGGAGGAGGAGAGGGGAGGGAGGGGCCGGGGAAGCCCCCCCGGACGCCCACGCTGCGCAGGGCTGTTGCCAAGGCGGCGGGGAGCCCCGCAGCCCGCGGCGGCCGGGCAGGAGCCGGGCTCCGGGCTTCGGGCTCAGAGAGAATTGCAGCTGCTCCCGCTCGCCCTCTTCTACGCAATCCTACGTGATCGAGGTTTGGATGAGAAATATCGCGCAGGCAAAGCGAGGCAATTGCAGCTCCGCGGCGGCTCTGCCCCTCCGCTCGGGCAGACCCGCCGCCGGCAGCCGGGCTTCCCCGGGACCGCAACCCTCCCGGCAGAGCCGCCTGCCACTCGTGCAGCCACCCCGGCTGCCTCCCTGGCCACTGCTGTCGACCCCCGAGCACCCAGCCTCGGCAGCCGAGCGTGTCCGTGGCTTTCCCTGTTTCTCCGTGGAAGCAGAGAAAGGACAACCCCGGCATCCCGAGGGCTGCTCTGCCGGGGCCGGTTCCCTGGCTGGGGAACGTGCGGGCGGCTCCAGCGGCGGTGGGCACTGCTGGGCTGCCCCCGACACACCGCCATCAGCAGGTGCTGGGCCGGCTCCCGCATATCTCCAGCCACAAAACCGCACCGAGAAAAAACTGAAGGTGGAGATACATCTCTGGTTATCCAGAGAAGTAACTGCTGCTGCACAAGGACGGTGCTCTCCAGATTTCAGGTTCAAGTAACAGGTAGCGATGGTAGCTACCAGGTTATTTAGGTGACGAGCAAAATACCCAGGGGAACGCACAGGCGTCGGGGTGGAGGGAGAGGGGATCTCGGCTGAGAGGACACTGCTACACTTTGGCAAGTAACAATGGCACGACAGGATTAAGCGAGTCCTGAAGGTGTACGGGTGATGCATGTTTCTGGCTGACAAGATCATTTTAGACCAGTTGGTGACACGCCCTAGGAATTTCTAGATTTAGCAAAATAATATTTTTAACTACTTCACTTCTAAGTTCTAAAAATTTTCTGAATTCTTCACCTCTAGACTTCAGCTCTAAATTATTTTAATGTATTGGGGAGAAAAGACAACTGAAACAACCACCCACTGTGTCCATAATGATTAACTAAACTCTGGCATTACTTCCTGATTTTTACTCTTAGTCTCTCTGCATACCAAAACAAGGTGGAATCAGGTACTCCAGGCTGTTTATCTCTTTTTAACTACTGCCAACTTTTTCTGAGCAGATTTCACCATCCCAATCAATAACGTTTTTTCTTCCCTTCCCTTTCCTGTAGCTAAAATGCTTCAGATTTTAATTTTTTCTATCGGATTATTTCACTTGACATCAAAGAATTATTGCAGTACAAGGTACAGGCATGGCCTAAAGAAAGCTGTTTGCAATCAGAGAATCACTGTCTGAAATGCCAGTGAATTATCCAAAGCTTCATCTTCAAAGGATGTGAGCATATCTTCATATCATCTCAAGAAAGAGATTTTCCATCTATATATATACTTTTTTTGCCTGTAGTCTTCAAGTCTGGTGAAAAAATGCCAGTTTATCCACCCCACATTAGATAAGTTCCAGTTATTTTGATGTGCAACTAATTTGTTTTGTTGTGTAGCTGTAAACTGGTAGCAGCAGCTCTGCACTTAAAAATGATCCCAATCAGTGATAAAGTCGGTCACAGCATTTTTTTTCCTGATGATTTGTGGTCTGAAAAGAGAGTTGCTGCAACTCTTAGGAAGAAAGGCTTCTCCCAGGTCTTTCCTGCTTCTGCAGTGAGTGAATTAAATTAAGCCAAAGCTTGTGAAACTGAATGTAGTGTTGCATTTGCCAACATGCAGGTCTGCCTTTATCTATAGATGGCCAAGGAGTCCACAGGGTTTGGTTGTGAGCACAGGCACGGTGCCATGAGCTCCTGGTGACATTACTGACACATACAACTGCACAGGTCAAATCATGCTACAACTTCACAAAACTTTATAAAGAACCCAAGCTTTTATAAACACCAAGGAAGCCCAGAGTGGTCTTGATCTGGAGAATAGAAGGCCAGTCTCATCATGCTCCTGCACTGTCATTGTCACCAGTGAAACATTACCTTTGGTGGGCTGCCAAGTGAAACAGGAAAGCCTCCATGTGCTTTCATCTATCTCTAACAGTGAAAGTTATCTCTTTCAACTTCCATTTGGGAAAACAGGGTTCAAAACATCTTCTATTTTAATCTGTATCAGCTACTCCTCTTTGAGGGTTGTGCAGCCTACACTGTTCCAAACCAACTAGTCCCTGTAAGATTCACAAGCTGTCTTCCTCCTTACTACCAATGGAAGCTGAATTGTTTGAGCAAACAGGGCCAATATGGCATTTTTCCTTAAGGAAAATATTTTAAAACATATTTTTCTATAAAGTAATATCTATATTGTGTAGTTATTATGGCCATTTTTCTGGCATGCCCCTTCTCTCCGGGCTTCCTCCTCACTTCAGTACCAGTCTGCAAAGCTGCACAGTGCATCCTATGAAAAACAATGCAATTCATAAAATAACCAATACAGACTATTATGATGACATTGGAGAGATATGCCAGGGGTCCTTCTGCAGTTTGTGGAGAAAGACCCCATCTGGCACAGAGGAGCAGGCAGAGGGTCAGACTCCATGTGGCTGTTGAAGGATCAGACTCACTGTGCTCACTAAACATCCCCACCCCAAACATACAGGAGCCTCTGCATGACCAATATTAATATTTCAAGACACTAGCATTTCTGAGATTTCACTCTGTTGATAAATAAACTCTTCTGTCCTTAGTGCTGAGGTTTAAAATGAAGGCATGGCTGAATTTCAGGGCTCTGGTGACTTGAGCAGAGAAGAGATCTAGAATTGCATTCCCTTACCTTCCTAAACAGAATGATCTATCTAGGTCAAAACGGAGGTTATTGGCATCTTTCCTGAGTGAAGTGCAATAATTCCCGCAGGGTTGCTAACAGAATATCCTGTTTATTTTTCATAGAGCCTTCAAAAGCCATGGGCTGTGTTCTGTAGATTCAGTCATTAGGCATATCTCTGCTTTACTAATTCTGTACATATAGAGCTAATTACAGATACAAACATATGCAGGTTTTTTGCTATTTTATCTGCAGAGCTACTGAAAATGCATACATGAAAATTAAGGAAGAGATTTACATTTAATACCACTTTAAAATGTGTGTGCACATTGCTGTAGTTGAATGGGAAAAAAAGAAAGACTCCCATCTCTGGCCAATAATTATGAATGGCCTAATTCACCATTTTACAGCAGCATAGCAACAAATCTCTTCCAATAGGAAGGCACTGTTGAGTTTGAAAGTCTGCATGCAGACACCTCTTAAGAATTGTACCAAATTTCCACGCTGTGTAAATTACATCTAAAATGTGCATTGCCAGAGCTGCTTATTAAGCAGAATTAAGCCCATATCCATGTTTTATTAACTTTATTCTTTATAAGGTAGCCCCTTGTTGCATGTCTAGCATAATTAAAATTCATGCAGCTTTGGCATTCCCCAGTCTCTCTGCGTGGGCGGACTTTTTGAAAAAAAAAACATGCCTGGGTAACCTGATAAAGAAAAGACAAGACCTTACTGCATTTTGCTCGGTTTCTGTGCAGGGTAATTCTGTTTACAATGCATGAGTTTGTATCTATGTTTGGATGCCTAATAAGAATTCACATGGCCACTTTAAATATGCTATTCAGGGAGAGAGATCTGGCCCTTAAACAGCAGCAGAGTACAAGAACTGGCCAGCTTTCTGGGCTGTTCTCGCACAGCTGAGCTTAGAGCTGACTTGGCCTTTTAATAAACACAAAAAAGCCTGCATCACCTGATTGCTATATTGAAATAATTCATTTAATGGGCCCTTCACTCCCCTTTTTGCCTTCAAAGATTCAATTAAACAAAATTTGCAACTCATCACAAGAAGTATTTATTAGTTTAGCTGGTGTCTTTCAATCCAGCTCCAGCCTGGGGAGGAGTTGGGCCTGTCTAGGTGTTAAAGCCAGGGGCAGGTACACAGCTGGCACACTGCAGAATGAAACCACTATTGCAAAAAGCAAGCCACCAGCAGTACCAACATGACAAAACCAGCTGCAGCCTAGAAAATGAAAGCATTCTACTAGGATTTTATACATTCACTTTTTTTTTTTTTTTTCCTTTTTAAGAGAAGGTTTTCTACTTAGCAGAAGCTTTTATTTCTCCTTGTTGACTGGTCACCTATATGAGGTGGAGGCAGGGCAACACAAGAAAGCTTCACCTCACTGAAGGGAACTGTGGCTGTCTAAAAAAGAAAGTGTTGTGAAGCATTCTTCTTCAAGAAGCCTCCCGTACGGATGAATAGACTTTTGTCTCCAGGGCTCTGGAAGCCCTGCTGGGATCATTTCCCTGAAATGAAGCCTGAAAAGGAGCAGTAGCAGGGAGCATCTCAAACTGTTCCCACACAGAGACCTCCCTGTAGACAGGTCAGTGCCTGTCCCACATGGCA